ATTTGGCATAATTAGTTAAAATTTAATAGGTATAGAGAGAGCTAGACAATACTCCATTAAGTCTAAGCTAACACCAGGGTTTCTTAATAACCTCGAAAACACAGGTGGCGGCTCAGGCGCCATGCATAAGAACCTCGTAACATAACCCTCATTTCCCGCCTTATTTCAAATTACAACAATATAGTAGTATAGACACCACTATTAATTATAAATTTTTCTAAAGCGGTGGAGACAAATTTTATGAATAACCAAAGCGTAGCGTAAACCATCTTTCTGATGTCACGGTATTGCGCGCAAGTCTCATTTTTCGAAAATCGCCTAAATAAAATTAACATTTGGATTTAAAAGCGATTGTTTTTTTTCCAAATTTTAACATGTTTGTAAAATATTTTTATGAAATAGTTTCATTTTTTTTTTTTAGAAAAAAATTGGTATGAAATCATCGATTATCCGATTAATCGAACCAGATGACATCGATTAAAAAAAACATCAACTACTCCACAAAAACATCGACTATTCAGATTAATCGATTAATTGATACCCATTCCTAGTATCTGTCTGGATTTATACAATACTTCAAGAAAACACTTACTTTTCTCGAGGTATTGTTTTTCTAATGGGGCTGACATGTTCAATAACGATCAAATCCCCTAAATAAATAAAGAATAAAAAAAACTATTTTGAATTGATTCTACTTAGCAAAAATGTGGAGCTAAGCAAGTTATTCGTACCTATTTACAAAACGAATTTGAAACTTTTTTGTTTTTCAGATAAAAAACACACATGATTTAGTTCCGATAAAATAGTTTCATTTCCTAATCGTGAAAACAAGAAAACTCGCTATGAACTTTGCCTAAGTTTAAGCAAGAATTTTTAACGCACACACTCATAGCCCCGCATTAGGGAAACCCTGTGTCGCAGATGCCATTGACACACACATAGACAACCACAAATTTCACCCAAACTCACGAGAGAATTGGTAACCATTCGGCCACGGAGACAGATAAGACAAAGAAAAAAAAAAAAAAATTTTGAGTTTTCTTCGTAATTTCTAATTCTAAGTCAAAGTTCGTTTTATGAATAGGAGCCTAAGAGGCCTGCACCATTGAGTCATTTTCTAATCAGTTTATACTAAATATCACTTGCCTCCACGTTGAAGGTAAACATCGTGATGAAATTGGCTTGTCGAAAATGTTTAGTGAAAAGGATCCGTCATCCTACTCTTCATTAACTGTCGTACCAAACATTTACGTCGTAACTGAGAAACGCGTACGATCAAACTCTGCTATCAAAAGCGAAGATGCTCCACAAATCGTCGAATATAACAATATCTACATTATACTCGCCTACCATGCACCGCAAGTGTGCAAAAGTGTGTTACGTAGGGCCAAGTTCGACCGTGTGCGCCGCATATGGGCCAAGCTTGCCTCTTATCCAACAGGCAGCAAATTCTTTTGGTCTCTGGCTAAAGCGGTCGAATCGAACTTTTGTCGCCCATGGCTCGCTGACTCATACTGCGGAAGAGAAGGCGAATCTTTTTGCCTCACTCTTTGCAGAGAGTTCGCGTCTGGATGCCGCAGGGAACCTACCGCCTACTTTACTTCAGGCTGGCTGCACTATGGTGCCAGTTCGCATACGCCAAAAAGAGGTACTTAGAACTCTGCGAAATCTAGACGTGAATAAAGCTAGCGGGCCAGATGAAATTCCATCAATAGTCCTGCGTAACTGTGCACCTGAGTTGGCTCCCGTTCTCGCACGCCTGTACCGCATCTCACTTGAGACTGGTGTAGTTCCCAGGTGTGGAAGATTGCAAACGTGCAACCTGTGCCGAAAAAGGGAAGCAGAGCTGACCCTGTCCACTACAGACCTATCTAAGTCACTTCCATACTCAGCAAGACTATGGAACGTGTACTCAACAACTGTCTCCTATCGTACCTTGAAGACAACGACCTCCTCAGTGATCGCCAGTACGGATTCCGACGAGGGCGATCTACTGGGGATTTTGTTGTGTATGCCTGTCACATATGGAGCGAGGCTATAAAAAGCCAGGCGAAGCACTTGCAGTGTCTTTGGACATTTCTAAAGACTTTGATAGGGTCTGACACGCAAGTCTTTTAAGTAAGCTTCTCTCTTATAGGCTTCCCACTGACCTTTGCAATTATATATCGGATTTCTTGAACGAACGTTCGATTCGAGTGGTCTTAGAAGGCTACTTTTCCGAACATAAGGCGATAGAGTTCCGTAATGGTTCCTCAGGGTTCCGTAATGTCTGCAACTCTCTTTCTGTTGCATATCAATGATATGTTAATTCCAGGTACCTTTGCGTATGCTGATGACACCATAGTTGTAGATAGGTATTTGACCAATGCAAGGATCAGTGGAGAGGAAATCCACTCTTGTCGAGAGTCTATGTTTAGCCGTTTGGATTTGACACTCCAGGCAGTCTCCGATTGGGGCGATGCCAATCTTGTCAAATTTAACTAAACCAAAACGTAGGCATTTCTATTCTCCTCAAAACGGAGTTCCTTTGAGCTGACTCCGACTTTTCATGATATATCCATACCGATAGCCAACTGTCTCCAGCTACACGGAATGGACCTGTCGTCCAATTTGAACTTCGGCAGATACATATAATTCACGGCCAAAAATTCAGCAAGGAAACTTGACATCCTTTCCAGGGTGAGGCGTTACTTTACACCGGGACAGTCGCTTCAGCTGTACCAAGCACAAGTCCGGTCGTACATGGAGTACTGCTGCCACTTGTGGGATGGCTTTGCTAGATATCAACTGGCCACTTATAATGAAATTAATAATTCAAACTAAAGGCTGATAGATTATAACACCACGCCATTACTACTATATAGAACTATCTTCTACTAAGAACACGAACCCTCATCGTAAATGAAAGTACCAAGACGTCGGGGATAGTGCAAATATCGGCGTATATAGCATTGGTAAAAGGCGCGTATCTGCATTAAACCAAATTTTACAAGAGAAGCATTTAACGTTACTACTTTGTTATTTAAATGACTTATCATTTTTGCACAGTACGCATTACTTTATGATATCTACGGATTGATAACAATAGATCCCGTATAGCACACGAATTTGGTTGCCACGACATTTACGCGAATTTGAATTGGCCCCTAAATTACCGAAATGGAAACACATAATCCAATGCTTAAATTGCTTTAAATATTTCCCTGGTTGAAAAGTAATTTATCGAACTATAATACACTATGTGCTAAGTTTTTTATGGAAATAGTAACAAGGAGGTCAATAGATAAGTGTCAGTGCATAAAGTTTTTACATAATTTACAAGATGTTTGTGGTGATGCCACAACAACAGACTTTTCGCACACAATTGGACTAGTTTTTAAGAAATTAGAATACAGTCGAAATGATTAATTACATTGTTAAATTACGTGTATAAAGCTCAGCTAGGATAACCTCTGGACGCAGAGGGGTTGTTTCTGGACGCAGAGAGCTTTCTATTGGCGGTCGGCAGAGCTGAGGGCCGAAGGGGAGGAGCCACTTCTGGAGCACATTAATCGATGGCGGAGACACACCCTACGGGCCGTGTTCCGGAAGTGGCAAGAGAAGCTGGTGGAGCCGAGATCTGGCCAATGGACCATCGGAGCGATTCGACCAGTCCTGGCAGAATGGGCGGATCGATCCTGGGGAGGCGTCTCCTACCACCTTGCGCAGGTGCTGACGGGGCACGGTTGCTTCGGCAAATACCTGTGCAGGGTGGGACGAGAACCGACGACCGTATGCCATCAGTGTGGCTGCGCCGAAGACACGGCCCAGCACACACTGCAGGCATGTCCGGCGTTCGACGACCAGCGGTCAACCCTGACCGCAGTGGTGGGGCACGACCTATCCCTGTCGACTGTGGTGCGAGCCATGGTCGGTAGCGAGAGGGCGTGGAGTGCGGTGGCCTCCTTCTGCACCGATGTATTGTCGCGGAAAGAGGCGACGGAGCCAGAGCGAGAGAAAGACCCTTCCTCTCATCCTATGCGTCGCAAACGTTTAGGGCGCCGGCGGCTGGCCTATGCCCGCCAACTGCCGCCCTGACAGTGAACCCTGAGTGGCAAAACGGGGGGCTTTGTCACTCACTGGCCAAGGGTTCACGGGTTGGTTGGCATGCTAAGTATTCCCGGCATGCCACTAACGACGGAGTGGGGACGGTAAAGTCTCCCAGATGTGGGTCCGCAGTCGCGGACAATCGCAGGCGGGGCCGTGGATCGTAAACCACGTGGCCACAGCCTCGTCCCATGCGGAGTGTGGGAATACCCGGGGGTTTTCAATGAGTAGGAGTCTCACATAACCACCGCGCCTCCCCATGACGCAGTGGTATCCATGACGGATTTTCTCCCGGAAAGAAAAAAAAAGGATAACCTCTAGAAAGTAGGACGTGGTTATTGACATCAAGGTTAATATTGCATACTGACAATATTCGTTGTACTGTACAACGACTGTAATGTACAACTTGTACATAATATTATAAGCAAGTGGTACAAAACTTACGTTTAAAAAACGAATATGAAATTAGGGATCTTATCTGAGCATAATTTATAACTTCTTTTAATTTGTAGGTAAATATAACACAGCAGTCATAAAAAGGAACAGTCGATCTTTAACTGTTAGAGATTTATCGACTTCTTAGGTTTTCGCGATTGTTACACATAGGAAATGAAACTATTTTTCCGGATTTAAATCGCGTATATTTGTTTTTTCAAAAACGCGATTTAAATCCGGAAAAATAGTTTCATTTCCTATGTTAGAGATTTGTTTAGAAACCAGTTCCACTTTTTATTGATTTCTTTCACCAACCCTCCAATGAATTTAGATAGGTTTACAACAGGTTTAGATTTGATACTACCAGCGCCATCTGTCCATTTGTTATGGAACTATAATAACTAAGGCAAACCTTTTAATAGAGAATTTTTAAAAACGCAACATTCGTATTTGAAATAAATCGCAACAGAGTTACTCACCAAAGCAGGCCATTTAACTTCTTTGCCCTCATAAGTTCTTGGTGCCCACACTAAAGTTCTTTCTACTAAAAAAATACGAAACGTCCTACGGGAATACACTGCTACCCACTCGCGGCGTTGCCAGTCCACACCATCATATTCCACTAACACCTGAAACAAGGATAAATTATTATTAATATTCGCTAATTATTCATACTTTTTTATTGCCAACTCGTTACTACCAGCGCCCTCTGTTGTCGAGTAGCTGAACTACGTTAACATTGCTCTTACAGTGACGACAAACCCTTTTTCTGATCTGAATAACTAGATGGCAGAACCATCGCTCCGCGGAGGAAATACAAAAGCATGGCCGCCGCTCGCCGCAAGACCCCGCCCAACCAGTATAGACCCGGAAACGTGTGAAAGAGACATATACAACTTATTGACTATAAAAAGAAAGAGACGACAACAATAACAAATCCACTTTTATCTTTGAAATATATTAGCTTGGCTGCTCGTTTCCCATACGCACTCGTAGTAAGCTGAAAGCTGAAAACGTAGTATAGCGCGCTTTACAAACTGTTATTTACCTACTTCTCTCGGTTCTGGCTGAACATTCATTTTCTAACGGGTTAGATAAAAGTTTCTTTCACAGTTAGTTATTATATGTAGCGTTATACGTATAATATACATTTTAACATCGTCTTCATCTTAAGGAGTAAATAATTTAACCTATCAAATTAAATATGTAATCTCTGAACTTTCAATCAACTGAAAAGCAAAGCTCTATAACTGATATGACTATTACAAGGACTCGGTTGCACAACTATAGTTATAAATATAATATATTGGAACTTTTACTTATTAACATTCGCCATACCATTAAAATTAAGTAAATTATTCAGCATAAATAATTCAAAACAATATATGTAAGTAAATATATATAATGTATGTATACAAAGTGTAATCATTAACTGTGCCCAGGCGATTATTCCGTAAACATAGGAAATGCTTATTAAAAACATATAAACAGATATCGAAAATACGTTACCTAATGAGTAAAACGACATCAGTATTTAAAAAATAAATAAAACTAGAAACATCCAAATTTCTCTACACATGAAACGTCTAAGAGCGTTTAATATTAATTTGGATATTTCCAGTTTTATTTTAAAAAAGTGATTTAATGTCGTTTTCCTCAATATATATTTCTATACTTCCCTTTTTATCAAAGCTACTAGAGCGACTAGTTCATAACCAAATACTCCTTTTCTCATACGCAACAACCTTCTCAACTCATTTCATTCCGGCTTCCGACCAGGACACAGCACTGAGACTGCCCTTGTTACGATCACCGATGACATTAGGTATAATATGTCACAACAGCAACTAACTGTAATGTCACTGCTTAATTTCAGCAATGCTTTATATGTTGTATATTTGTATTTATTTTTTGGTTTTTGTATCTATTGATTAGTAATTCTTCATACACCGCCGTCTTTTTCCTGTGAGTTATAGAATTACTTCCATCCAAAGGTTGTCTGGCAGAAATCGCTTAAAGCGATAAGACCGCCCATTGTATTACCGCTTATTTTTTATTTAACTGTATTTGATTTGTTTCCTTTTTTGGTGTACAATAAAGAATTATTGTATTGTATTGTATTGTACTTCCAATATTAGTTGAAAGGTTTTTGATATCTCTTATATTTACGGAATAATCGCCTGAGCAGTGAGCACACTTAACGATTACACTCTGTATATAAAGTAAGGTACAACTGACAAGTGAAGAGATGTCTGCTGACATACTAGAAAAATCTCATATTGGTTGCGGAAAAGCGACTAAGTGGTAAATTTAGAAGATCACCTTGATCACTTTGTATTGTCGGTTGTTAGCTTGAGGTTTGAAGGACCGGCTATACTATGTATTTGCAAGCGGCTTGCACGACGTACCGTTATCGTTTTTCCTTACACAGTCCATAAGCACGCATATACATATAAATGAGGACCTACCTACACGGCTAGCGCAGTTTACTCGTCCGTGTAGACGAGCCTTTTGCTAATCTGCCTGCCAGACGCGGCGAATATAGTTCCTAAGTAATGACTTAACTCATTTCACCACTTGATTTCGCAGCACTGCTGGAGTATTATTATTTAATTTACTTATTATCATTTTAAACATGAGACAAATAATTACTCCAGTAAAATTTATAGTGGCGTGTCTAGCGGACAACAACATTGTTTATAAACAGACGATAAAACGAACATGATTTCATATCCAAAAAAAGATAAACGAATATCAAAAATGAACACTATCACCGTACTTAATAGGCGCTAATTGAGTGTCTTTAATAAGCATTTATATAAGTGTATGTAAGCATATACGCATATCTAATGTATGTCATGCAGGTAAGTAAATAGATGTAATACATGACAACTACATCGCTACATAATGAGCTAGGTTAGTAAGCACGACCTCACGAGTCTGACATTCAATGTCACTATGGATTCTCCTGGTGCTATTTGCCTAGAGTTGTCATTTAGTATGACTTGTGCATCAGATTTTATTGAGTCGAGTTAGTAGCGTCGAATAATTGGAGGCATTTCAGAGAAGGACTATGATGACCCATCTCATACGAAATTCCCATTGGGCGAGAATAAGTCACTTTGACTGACCAAATCTAAAGAATGGTGGAGGCCAGGCACTGTAAGAAGGTCAAAGAAAGGGCTTTTGCAGATAACGGAGTGGCGTTTGGAACATCGACAGGAGCTTAGCTTTAAATCTATTTGTGAGTCAATATAGTTCAATGGTCCCTTCAAACTTTTATTAAATTACTAATTTTAGAGCATTTGTAACAGAATGTATGGTTGATATTGAATCTAAAAAGTCGGTGTTATTATCAAAGCCGTCGAAATAACTTTACCTATGTACAAATGGTAGGGATACCTATTTTAAAAAGAAACTTAACTTTATACACGTGTATACAATATACGGCGATATATTATGTATATAACAGAAAAACGTACAATGTTTAAAAAGAGGTTCTTTATTATATATGGGGTATGATACGATGATAATATGTAACGTTAGCGCAAATGTTAGTCATGGTTTTGTAAAGTAACAAACTACAGACATTATGCTTGAAGGGCGCCCACATAGCACGATCTAGGTATAAGTACATCTACAAACACATAACTTCAAGGTCAATGATCATTTAAAAGAATGGTACGTATGTTGATGTATGAGGAAGCAAGACACATAAGAATGGAAACATAGTTATATAATCTCAATAACTTAGATATAATGATGTTTAAATGTAACATATCTAGTTAACATCGTAGTGTTTCAAGGAAATCAAATGCATCATCATCATCGTTATCAGTCTATCGTAGTCCACAGCTGGTCATAGGCCTCTCACAATGTGCTCCATTACGCGTTTGCTGTCAGCAGCCTTTAGCAGATCGTAACTCCATCTGGCTAAAGGACGTCTCACACTACGTTTGCCGAAACGTGGACTCCACTCAAGGATTCGCTTCCCTCATCAATTATTAGTTTTTCGACAGATATGGCCAACTCACTGCCACTTTAACTTGCTTATTCTACCAGCTATGACGACGACCTTGGCTCTCTATCGGATAACCTCATTTCGTATGTTGTCCTTCAGAGAAACTCCAAACATAGCTAGTTCTAATTGACGGATGTAGTTTTGAATAGTATATTTGAAACAAAAAAAAAGTGTAAGGCAAATTAATTGATGACGTTGATAGCTTTTCCGTGAGTAACAACAAATAATGATAAATTAGCCGAAGAAAACTCACTAAAGGATACATTAATTATCACATTAATTGTTTCAATACTTAAACAAAAGAGGACTTAACAAGATGTGACTTGATTCATGACAGCCAATACAAATTTTGAGGACGCTACAGGGGTAGTAAATCGGGTTCATTATGAAAAGTATAATATTTTTTTTTTTAAAAACAGGTCACAAATGTCGAATCATCAAACATGTTAAATGAACGTGATGATCAAAGTATGTCGTCGAACGGAAACATCACCGACTGCAAGCACAATGACCGAAATTGGGTCAAGACCGTAAATAAAATCAACGTAACAACGTTGATAAAGTTAGTCGGTATCTGTAACTTCATGTACTCGTATAACATGTCGCACCGCCATTGAAGCATCGACCTAACTTACATTTTTTAAAGTTTATAGATAACAAATTTATAATGTCAAGTGACGGAACGAACAAGTCTTGCCCAAGGTGGTATACAAACACGCCTGTCCATAGCAGTTCCTAGTACTTCCCTGTGCCAGTCCATAGTACTTCCCTGTACGGAACGCGCTCTACTGCCAGTTATATTTTTTTGTTTGTATATATTTTGTTGGTATTACATAATATTACAAACATGTCAGGAGTGATTTTATTTCGGGCAGCATTTGTGTGGATAATTAAAAAAAATTAGATGTCATAAGAGTTCTTAAATTTGCACACGGTTTTCGCGATTGCTAAACATCAAAATATGAAATTTTTTCCGATCGGTCAGCCGTGAACACGAAACGTTGATTTGTTGTTTGAAACTACTTACGCCTTTTTGGTTTTAAACAGTTATTTTTTGCCAAATGGTTACACTTATGTCTTGTTATGTAATATTTTGAGATATTATTTAATAAAATAATTTTAATTTCAATAATTTCAGAAATATAGTGACAATATTCTGTTCAGAAACACAGTGACACGTTTACGAAGATTCTTTTCATAAGCAAAAATTCGACGTTCTTTTTTTTTATTCAATGTTCGAGTACTATAGACAATAGAATTTTGGTTCAGAACTAAAAAGAGCGCCTTTGTGGTATGATTTAAGAAATTATAATTGACAGGTTAATAAAAAAATATATTTAGTCCCAAAATTCTCCACAAGTGACTTTTGTCATACTTTTCTAGAACTTTTGGTACACAATATTATTAAAGATATGCATTACAATCGAGTTTTCATCACGACACTTACTTCGTAAATAAATGACGTACTACAACGTCATAAACATCCATGTATAATAAAAGATTCAAAGTTTATACTACTTATAAGTAAGTATGTTAACGGCGTGCCGTCCCTTTATTTGTCCCAGATTCACTTCGAAATACTAATGCCCTAAGAACCGACCTTGTATG